TGTTTTTTATAATCTCTTTTAAATCTAATAAGTATGCATAATACAAAGCTGATTTCAACTTTTTATCATAATTGAGTATGGAAAGTTCTAATAATATATTTGAAACAGTTTTAAAACTTATAAAGATGTAAATAAAGTTTTTCCATCATTTACATTTTTTATTCATTTGTTTTGATCTTTAAATCTTGAAACTTATATATGTTCATGTCTATATTATACTTATCAAACATAAAATCAAAATAATAATAAAAATTGATGTCAGGTCAGGCGTATAGTCAATATGATCACCCTTCTACTGGTAACATGCAATCTGTTCTGTATCCTGCTGCCTAAAAAAGTGTATTTCCTGTCATCAATACTATCTAATATCTATCATGTCTATATCTGTTTTTATTTTATATAGTTAGAGGTGTCTTACTGTGTTAGTTAAGCCATAATTTTTTATATATTTATATTTATGTTCTGTCTCAACCTCTGGGACGGTGTTCATTCACTCTTAAGGGGTTGTCCATACATTACATCACATAATTTTCAATCTTGTTTTTGACCTCTCCCTCCCCTTCATAACACTTTAGTAGCAAGTTTTATATGAGTCATCACAAAACCACAATCCCCCTTTCCCTTAGAGTGTGTAGTTTATGGACGACGCCTAAGTTGCTATATATATGTTTGTATTCTATCTGAACCTCTGATTGCTTACCTGGAAGTTTATATATGCATGTTTATGTTCTGCTTGAATCTCTGGTGCATTTTTTATAAGGCTTTGATATCTCTCAATTAAGAAATTTAATTGCATTTTTTTATAAGGTTATTTAAAAAAAAAGTTATTTTGTTTTAAAACAACGACTTTTTTCAACTTGATGAATTTTATATAAGATATATAAGTACGATATATATAAGTACTGATGAACTTTTTATAAGAATCATTAAAGTTAATACACTTAAAGAGTTGAAAAAAAATTTTTCAAAAAAAAAAAAAGGCAAATGTTTTTGAAAGCTGTTACAATTAAATATTTTTATTTTATTGAAGTTAAGTTTAAATAACTTTGATTGTTAGTGTTTATATATTGCTAAACAACTTTTAAATGAAGTAACAAAACTCTGCTTATGGTTTTTCATATAAAGCAAAGTCTTAAACTATGGGTCGCGACCCTAAATGGAGTCGCCTAACAAAATATTGGGGCAAGATTTTAATGTAAAATATTTAAATGCATAAACTTGTATAATTCAGCTTTCTATTGCGTAAAATGGGATTTTCTTGGAATATTCCCAGTAAGAAATTAGCAATCAATTTAGTGACTTCCAGTATTTATGTTTAATCAAAATACAATGACACGTGTTTACAAAATAGTATAATTCATTGTCATAGCCATTGTTTCAAAGTATTGTAAGTGTCCGTGAAATAATGTCTTTTCTTGGAATTGATGGTTCGAATTTTCATTATGCGAACTAATATAGTGTTTTTACTAGAGTAGTCAATTGTCTCAGTTTCATAGCAATGCAAAAATAATATAGTTTTTTCAAATTGTTAAAATATAACTCAAGTGAGAACAGAGTAAAAATGCATCATTTTTAAAGGAACAGTCTTAGTAAGAGTATTTATTTTTTAGAAACTAATCAATGAAAAATCACAAAATATTTAATTTTTTTTTTATATTTATCTAAGTTGCAAAAAAACTTCCAGCCGTAAATGCAGTCGTGAATTCAAAAAGTTTAAGAAACCATGATATAAAGTATTAATGAATATTAAATATATTTTTTTTTAATTATTGAGTTATGTAATTTTTATGATAAATGTAATTTAAAATAAAGTAAAGAAAAACAAAAAAAAAGTATAAAAATGTGTTAAACAAAGCAATGGTTTTAAAAAGCGTTAAAGTATCTTTTTTTTTTTAAATGGGTAATTATTTACAGGGAAACTACTTTTAAATTAGTAAAAAAAAAAACAACTATATTTAAAATAAAGTGTGAATATTTATTAAACAATTATTAGAAATAAATTGTTCTTTTATTTTAAGGATTTCCCATAATATTATATCAAACATTAGTAAAGATAAAAAATTTGAAGTTCCAAACGTAATTAAAACTTTATTTAAACAAACTTTAATAATGTGTTTTAGTTGATTTATATTTTTATTTTTTGTGTTTTAGTTGTAGTTAAGTTCTTTTTATTTTTTCTTTCGTTAAGGTTTCTATTTTAAAATAAAGTTTTTTAAAAGTTTTTTTTTTAGCTAAGGTTTAGGATAATATTTTAAAGTATTGCAAACAGGAAGTAACTTCTTTTAACTACTCCAAATTTTAAATCAATATATAAAGTATTTTAAACTATAACTACTCCACGTCAGGTCAGGTTCTGGATAATTACAAGTACCTTGGTACTGGTACCATGTAACCGAATGCTACCTATCCTATGTCCTGCTGCCTTGTAGGCAAAGCCCTTGCTTTTTTAGGCAAAGGCTAGGAGAAATAAACTCAGATTTAAATTTCCATTCCCTTGTGGTTCTTATTTGACTAAAGGCAACAGATGGTGTCTCTATAAAAATACTCATCTTGGGCAGATGTTAACTGCATCTAGCTACTGTCTACTGTAGAAGGCCTCCTAGACAGAGATTTTAGAGATAAGCAGAATAAATTTTTCATCTATTAAAATGTTGAAGATTTACATCTGTTACATTGTTTCCTGCCTAGGATGATGAATGTTGGATTTTCTTGACTTAAATTATAGATTTTTACATCACCACCACCTAACTGTTCCAATATATCTTTCACAAATATGCACGGTTCTACATGGTTTTCACCTTCTTGTGCAGCTGCTCTATCTAATTGTAATCTTTTTTTTTTTTCATCTTTTTCAAAACAAGAATTCTCTTGAGAACAAATAAATAGGATACATATGTATCCGATTTATCTTTTAAAATGTTACTCATTTATTTACTTCTTAAATATATCTCAATTATTTATCTCATATGTGTAAAATGTCCTAAAATGTCATAGCTGTATTGCTTATATCACCATGATCGGTTGAAATTTGAATGATTTTAAATTATGTTTTCTCAAAAACTACTAAATCAATTTTATTAATTTTTTTTTTTCTTTGGAACAAAATTGGTGCTATTTTTCTTATACCACTGCATTACTTTTTTGGAATAGTGAGTCGATGCCAGATCTGGCCAAAATAAAGTTGGTTGTTTGTGCTTTTTAATTAGAGGAAGAAGTTGTTTTTTCAAGCATTCAGTCCCATATCTTTCTTATGCAAAATATTAATTTTGTTATTAAAAGAGAGCTATTAAAACCACAACTGCTAATAGCCTGCCATACAAGTAACTTGGGAGCAATTTTTTCAACTCAAATATACTTAAATTAAGTCAGAAGCTTTATAAGTTTTGACTAATAATAGTATTGGTTACTTATTATTGATAGCATCAAGTGATCTTTTTATCAGTAAGTTTTATCGTCTTAAAAAATGCCTAAATTTTTTTTCGTAATAAATTTAAGAAAGTTTTTAGCTTGTCCAGTTGCTTTGATTTTTCCGTTAAACAACCTTTTTGGTACTTTTTTCTTGTAATAAGGTTTCAGATTTTCCTTTTTTAACATTCTTTAAACGAAAGATCTACTTTTAAACTTCATAGCTAAATCTTATTGTGATTTTGATAAATAAAGTCGACTTTGATTGATTTTGCCTTTGTTTTGGAAATAAATCTTGGTTTTCCACCACTTCCCGATTTTTTTTACAGTTTTATTTTCCTTATAATGTTTTATAACAATTCCAACAGTTGATTTTGAAACTTAACATGCTTTTGAAATTATTTCAAGTGTTTATGGTTTTAGAATAAATAATTAATTTAAGAAAATAATAATTCTTAAGTGCATTGACATCCCACTGATTGACCAAAAACTACTTGAATTTCTAAATGTTGTTAAAAAATTTTTTTTACTTAGTAAGTATAATGTTGTCAATTAAGGTAATGGAAAAAATAAAACAAATTGCCTGCTTATCAAGTTGTTTTGCAGTCATTAATTTGTTATTACTGTGATTGTCGATAATCATGAGGCATTTTGATGATTTTTTTCAGCAATATATATTTTATCTAAAATATTAAAGAATAAATTAATTAAAGAGGGATATAAAAATCAGGTAGAAAATAAAATAGTTATTATGGGAATTAATGTTTTATTATTGTTTTATTAATGGTCATCTTTTTTAACACCTTTTTTAGTCTTCTGCTAACCACTTCCTTGCTCTTTAAGTTTATTCTTTGTTACTAATAACTCCCAACTTAATAGTGGTTACTTGCTGCCATGTTATGAGTGAATTAAATTAAAAAAAAAAATGAAATTTTTTTTTATATTTATTTTAAAGAAAATTTTTTAAAATGAATTTATAAAACATAAAATTTTAAACATAAAATAAGATTTAAATATAATATTTAAAATAATTTTCAAAATAATTTTTTATAGAGAATATTTAAAACTAGCAATTTTAAAATCTTTCTTTAACAACAAATAGCAATTTTAAGTATTTTGGCTAAAGCACTGGAGAAGAAAATTTTTAAAATATGATAACATATATCAATGATGTTCTTTTGCACCCATATTTATCTTTATTGTTGTACATAGTATACTTTCCTAAAACATTAGAAATCTATTCTTTTGTCATCAATTTATTATTTTAATTAACATAACAAATAAAGTTTTAGATCTAAAAAATATTTTTTGTGTTTAATTTTATAGACATTTTTTATAAGGATTTTTTTTTTTAATAAATTCTTTATTATTTATAAAATACAAGAATTAAATTAAAATTAATTTCAAACAGAAAACACCACAACATATATCTAGATAAGATATTCAGACCATTGTACAATAAATCAGATTTAAATTATTAATTGCATTTTTTTTTTAAATAAAATTTTTAATTAATCATAACAATTATAATAAATTAATTATTAATTACAAATAAATAGTTATATATTCATACATTTCTTGTTTTGTTTTTTTAGTTTGTGGTGATGTATTTGTTCCAGTATTTGCTGAAATGTCTTCAAAAGTTAGTTTCACAATAATGGATGCATATATTGACAGCCCATTCACATGGTGTGCCTTATCTAATGATAGTAGTCCATATATAATAATTGAGTTGAATCAAGTTTCTGCAATATCAGGTATTAATGTACAAGGTGATTCTAACAGTGATGCATGGGTAACAAAATATCGAATTTCGTATGGTGTAGTTAAATATAAAATGAAAGATGATAAGGTTTGTATATATATATATATTCATTTTTTTATTTTAATATAGTGTAATTTATATGTATTAGTAAGATAGAATTTTAATATATCTTTTTCAAAAAAGTTTCAAAACTATTAAAAAATGCATCTTTGTAAGCATTTTTTATATTCTATTTATTAAGGATTTGAATAAATTAATAATATAGTATATATATAATAGTAATATAATATTCATTTCTTTATAGAGGTATGTTTTGAGGCAGTTATAGGGTCAATGTTAATTGGACCCTGTGACAGACTCAAGACAGGTTATACAAGTCCAGTAATAAATCGAATGGACTACTAAACTGAAAGTCAGTTTAGTAGTCCATTCAGTCTAAACTGAAAGTCTAGTTTAGGAGTTATTTTTTTTTCTTTTGCTTTGAACTCATTTTCATACTGTGATCCAACAAATGAGTTAGACAATTTATTCCACAATTTTAATACTTGATTTGTTAAAAAAAAATTCACAAAGACTTTTTTAAAAATAATTTTCAAAATGACTTTTTTTAAAAAAATTTTTTACAAAGACTTTTTTTGAAATAGGTATCAGTAATAGTGTAATGAAATGGTATTCTTATAAAGGTTAATTTTTTAATTACTACATTTTTTTGGTGGAAGATACCATTCAATTAAAAAAAAAAATTGTATTAGATCCCCCTTTTTTTATTCTATTAAAGTTGTTAAACTAAACAATTATAAGTGATTTCATATAATAAATGTTTGTTATCTATTTCTGTTATCAATTTTGTTGCTCACCTTAGTATGTTTTCGTAGATATTTATATTTTTGTTTGTATAAGGTGACCATGCTTAAGTTGCATACTTAAAGTACAGCCAGATAAAACTTATATACACTTGTCTGAAAGATGATTTAGTTGTATAATTAAAAATTTTTGACCAAAGTTCCAATCTACTATTTGCTGTAGCTGATACTGATTTACTTTGAGTTTCTTATTTTAAATCTTGTAAAATTAATTTACAAAAATCTTTTTCAAGTTGGTTAAGTGAAGAACTTGTTTATTTTCACATTGTCCATTAGTATATATATATGTTTTGCATTTTTTTACTGATGTACATACAGTAAAGTATGATGTACATCAGTAAGTTTAGACAAAAAACTTTAAGTAAAACTTTTTTTAAGTATAACTTTTTCTTTAAGTAAAACCTTTTCTAGTGTTTATAGAATTTTTTTTTTTTATCTAGATTTCTTAATTTAAATTAATAACAAAACAACATATAAAATAGAATGCATCCTGAGCAGTAAACCAATCTGATAGAATGTTAAAAACTTTATATACTCCTTTTTTTGTTTCACTGATAAACTTTGGCTTCTTTTGGATAAAATTTAAATCATTTACTTTTTTTAAGATATTTATGTTTAGTTAAATATTTGATGTCATGGTTTTAAGTATTTTTTTTGACAGTTGAATGGTCCAAAAATAAAAAAAAGTACTTTGAACAATCATGTACAAAGGCTATATAACAAGAGATTCAACCATCCAACAAACTTGAATGAATGTAGGGGAGAGTGTGTATGAAAGAGCCAGGTTTTGAAAGAGGCGATACTATTATATCTAACTTACTGGCACCCGACCATAATTGTATTTTACTCTTTTTGTAGCAAAGCTGTATAACTGTCACCCACAAAAAATTTTAAAAAATACTAAAATAAATATTGTCATAAGGGTGCTCTAAAAATTTTGAAAATAAAAAGTAATTTTTTTGGGGTTTATTTATTTTCAAGATAAAGAGTATTGTAATAAAGTTTTGGTAAAAGTTGTTTAATTGAAGGTTATTTTTTTATACCTTACAATTTTTTGAAAGAGCCAACTTTTTATGCTATGAATAAGCTGGTCTTTTCTATTTAGCTTTTTTTAAGACTAAATAATTGTTTTGCGCTTTAACGACTTCATTGTTTTTTGTAATGCTTCATTGATCATATTCTATTGAAATCAATTGTTTGAATGACTTTTCCTAAAGTTGTAAAACGTAGGTGAGTTTGAATTTTAAAAAATATATTCAAATATTAATAAAGTTTTTAATAAAGTTTAAATAACTTTTTTTTTAATAAAATTTATTTTTGTTTCAAACTTCATAATATTTTGTCATAACTTTTGTATTATTGTGTTCACTCATAAATCACTAGAATAGTTAATATATGTGAAATGCCTTATAATCACTATGATTCATAGATAACATTTATCGTCAAGATGTAGTCAAAACAATTTGGATGCACAGTAAAAAGCTTTGTGACTGACAATGCAGCTAATATGAAATCAATGAGACAAGTATTGTCATCTGAAAGAGATATTATCATAACTTATGGGTGTGCTGCTCATATGCTGAATCTTTTAGCAAATGATCTTAATATTGAAAATGTGAGCAAGCATGTTACACAAATAATAAAATGTATAAGAAATAATCATCAAGCTGGAGCTATTTATAAATTAAGCGGAAGAACAAAATTGCTACTTCCTACTGAAACTCGCTGGAATTCTGTATGTGATTCACTTGAAAAATATATCAACAACTGGAACATTATTTTCACAATGTTTGAAAAAAATAAAGACTTAGATTCCATGATTGGTAAAAAAGTAAGTGATATACAGATGAAGTGAAACACAGAAGATTTATTGAAAATATTGAAACCAATTGCAATAGCTCTAGATAAGTTGCAAAGAGATCAAACAAAAATAAGTGACACTTGAAATTTTTAAAGATTTGATGAACAGTTTATCATTTTCTCAAACAAACAAAAAAAAATTAAATCTAGATACCTGATAAACAGGTTTATCCATTTTATCATTCCAGCTTCTCTATATCTAAAGTGATTTCACTTCTGCTGCAGCATGACTCTTAGTGGCTTAGTGTACTTAACTCAGATAAAAAAAATTTTCAACTATTCGTTATTGCAATAATCTAGATCTTCCTATATTTATGAGCGGTAATGTTCTTGATGAGTCATCTACCATATGTCTTATATATCCAATCTTTCTTGGAAGTCATATATAAATCCATCGCAAAATTAACTTCTGCTAAGCCAGGTTGGGGTCAAATATGTAATTGAATTTGTTTTTATATTTGATACTTATGGTCAAAATTGGTGTATTTGTATTCGTATTGTATTTGAATAAAAAATTCCTTAAATATTTGTATTTGTATTTAATTAAAATGTATTTTTAATTCCATAAGCTTGGTTGGCCGGTGTTTTTTTAGGAAAAACCAAAAGATTTGTTTTTTTGTTTTGTTTTGTTTTTAACACAAAGTTGAAATTTTGTTTTTTTAGGGATATTTGTTAAAAGACTTGTTTTTATTATTCTATTTAACATAGCACTGAATCAATATTATATTAAAAAAATTGTTGTGGCATAGGATGGGTAGGGCAATAGAGGCAGGGAGTCCCTGGTGGTACTATTTTATAGGTGGCAAATTTATTTTTAAAAAAACTAAAACTTTTCTGTTTTGCATCCCTAGCTAAATATGATAACATATTGACATTTTGTTTTAGAAAGAATTAAACTAGTTATTATAACCCGAAATAATATCTTCAGTTTATATTTTTAACTTTGCAAATAACGCATTTCTTTTATCTCTAAGATTTTGTCATAAAAAGTCATTTTTTTGCAGTTATGTGACAAGTAAGGTGACAAGTAAATAATGAATTTTTTACCAGTTTGATTCTTCGAATGTATTCACACAGCATGGGGTCATATTTTGCCAACAAATGAAATATTTTGAAAAAATTTCCTCTATATCCAGTAGGTTTGTCTTGATTTTCATTGGCAAAATCTTCTTGGTGACTTTTTAGAGACATATATATATATATATATATATATATATATATATATATATATATATATATATATATATATATATATATATATATATATATATATATATATATATATATATATATATATATATATATATATATATATATATATATTTATATATATATATATTTATATATATATATATATATATATATATATATATATATATATTTATATATATATATATATATATATATATATATATATATATATATATATACTATATACATACTATATATATACTATATATATACTATATATATACTATATATATACTATATATATATATATATATATATATATATATATATATATATATATATATATATATATATATATATATATATATATATATATATATATATATATATAGCAAAGCGTTCTTAACTAAATGTTGAACCAGGAAAAAGTGTAATTTGAAGATAATGATAGTTAAAATACTACTTATAAACCTGATACTTTGAATTACTATCAATAACTTACTACCAACAAAACTGACTTTGAAACACAAGAGACCTAATAAATCCAAAGGACAACAAAAACTGAAACAAAAAAAAATCATGGCACCAGAAAACAGATTCTGGAAAAGACAATTGATTCTGACTGTCTCTTCCAGAATTGTTTTGTTTGTGAAAATTTATATATATTAATTCTTAAATTTGATAATAAAGAGTTTTATATATATTCTTACATTATTAAATATATTCTAAGTATAAAAAAGTAAAATTTTATAAGTAAAGTTGTTGTTATATACAGATATTTAATTATTCATATAATAATGATTGGTCATTTATATTATGCAAATGTAAAAAATCTATTTGTATAGCACTACATACAAATGTCTGTATAAACGTCTTTAGCATAAGTTGAGTTTGTGGGTGATATATGGAATGATCGCGTAAAATATGTATAATATAAAAAAACTTAAACAATGAATTACTGAAGATATAAGTACAATTGAAAAACAAACCATTTTATAAACCTTTTGTACAGATTGCAATTTATCAACAATTTTTAAGCACGTTATTTTAAACGAGCATAACTTTATTGTATAGCATATTTGAATAATATAATATATTAATAAACAAATACATTATAAGTGAATTTAAAAAGCCCACTTATATAAAGATATGTACAAGCATCAGTAAGTGTAA